ATTTGTCTGAAATGGTATAGGGTTCCTGCCTGAGCAGGGGGTTGGACTCGATGACCTCCAAGGTCCCTTCCAACTTTATTATTATTATTATTATTATTATTATTATTATTATTATTATTATTATTATTATTATTATTATTATTATTATTATTATTATTATTATTATTATTATTATTATTATTATTATTATTATTATTATAACTGGGCTACTGGCATTGTTGGGCACAACTTTGAAATACCACAAAAGGGGTGGCTTAGGCAGAAGCAAAATAATTCTCCTGCTCCCGTCAGTGTCCCACTCCTGGAGCAGGTTGGCAAGTTGCACAGGAGATCAGGGAAAAAAGAGGTTGATTGAAATGCAGCATATTGGCACATCCTATTGAATGCCAGGCTGATAAACTCAGGAAAGTCCTCAACTAATGCTGCTTCCCTATGGTTTTTCCACACAGCTGCTGACATGTCATCCAGGGGAGATCCTATGTATGATATTTGTATCAGCAGGTCAACAGTGTTGGCACTGATTGAATCTTTCTACTTTGTCCAATGCTACTACTCTATACACAATCTAGCAGTATACTGCACTGGGGATCTCGAGGGAGGAAAATGAGAGTATTGTAGGTGGATAGGGCTTTTCCAATATAGAGGAAGAGAGAGTATTTCCTGCTTTACTGGGGCCTCCTCCAAGTGCTTGATCCATGAAAGAGTGAAGCCCCACATAGCTATAAGACTAAGAAAGTAAGAATGACATACATTTTAAGAAAGCAACTTTAATAGTGCTTGTACCTTGAAAACTGTAAGGAGAATTTATTGTCATATTTACGGTGAGTTAACTAAGGCAGAGTCTCTTTGAAACTTTTTTTTTCATATCTTCAGCAGTTGCCTCTTCCAAGATAAATATTAAAACACCTGGTTCTTCACTCTTCCAAAGTCTCTCTCTCAGGAACTGTTTGACAGAGCTGCACCCTTCATTATGTTACTGCCATGGATCAGTGCTGTAGTTTATCTCTGGGGTGGATAAGGCCTTCCTAGCAAAGCAGAAGCAGAAAAAATTTGACCATCCAGCATCCCTGCTCTCATCTTTGGTAAAACTCATATCCTCTCCCAGCCACCCTATGTTAAGGAGGGGGATTGGTGGATGCTTTTCTCTCTGGCAGGAAAATCCAATTACTTGTTCCAAAGTAAATCTACCCTAACTTGCTAGGACCATGCTACATACCAGTCTTATTAATGAGGCAAAGTAAAGACCGGCTATGTTGATGGAGGAAATTCTTGTCAGCATACTTGATTCTCCTTCATGTAGTGGAAGACAGCAATGTTAAATGACTGAGTGTATGCTATGCAATCACAAAAGCATATGGAATAGATATAGCATGACTATTCCTACTGTTACTATTTCTCAGAAACTGTAGCATGGAAAAGCTGGGGATGCTTTGTATGTATGGTGATTAGTGTTAATGGAAAAGACAAGGGTGTGCTGTTTGTATTAATGTAGATTCTTTTCCCCCCAGTTTTGTCTCATCTCAAATTAATGATTTGAAGAAATCAGGAAAAAGATTTATAAATAAACTGTTGTGCTAGATTTGGAATAACTTCAATATTACTTCTTTGAACAAGGATGCTTAAAAACTTTCTCATTTGTTGACCATGAACAGATCTTTGTTTGCATTATAGGGAGCCCATAAACATATAATTGAACTGAAATGAGTAATCTAGAGTAATGTCATTTTTATCCAAGGAATAGATTTCTATGAGTATAATTTTAAAAAGGGGCACATATCAATATGAGATAAAGTTTTTTTTATTACACTAGGACTGAAGATCTAGGTCTAAATCTACTCTTCACAAAATTTTGCTTTTGGCCAATCTCTCACTTTTTTACCCCATATAAACTATACAGCAAGACATAGAAGGGAAAAAAGAAAAAGGGGGAAAATTCAGAATGATACTTTATCTAGCTGTAAATAAGAACAAATTACTCTATGTGAATTACATCTAAGTTTTTACCAAGATCAGTCTTCAGATGTTTTAATACAATTGGTAACACAAAGTTGGATAAATAAAATGGTGAAAGCTTCTTTGAGAAGGGTGATACTGCTACAGTCTTGAAATAGTTGTTAATATGTCCCATCCTCAAAAAGCATTTACTTGACCTAGCTGTACTGGATAATCATTGTTCTATCTCCAACCTTTCTTTACAGGCAAGATTGTAGATAAGGTTACCCCAGCAATTAAAAAGCATTCTGGGTGAAGCAAATGATCTGGATCCCTGGATCTAGTCAGGGGTCAGGCTTGAGAATGGGCTGGAAAGTTTCTTGATCATTCTTATGGATGACCTATGACAGGACTCATGTGGTGAACCCACCCCTAAAAACCTGGAGATTTCTTAGCAGTATTTAATGTCCTTGACCATGGTATCCTTTTGGACCATCTGCAAGGATCGGGCGTCATGGCCACTGTTCTACAGCAGCTTTGCTGCTTCTGGAGTGATTCTATTCTGCATTGGTGTAGAAAGGGAACCTGAGCCTTTAATTGGCCTTTTCTATATCTAAAAGTTCACATGAAGAGATCATCAATCAGTTTAGGGCAAGTTATTATTTCTATATTGATGAAAGCCAGTAATATATAAATCCATCTCAGGCTGACTAGGTGATGTGGTGGAAATCTTGATCTAGTACCTGCAGAGAGTCTGGACAGTCTAAACAAACTCAGACTGAATTCCAGCAAGATGGAATTACTTTTGGTACAAAAACTGTTAAATAATAGATGTTATATATTAATTGGATTGAAAGAGCATCTATAAATTATTCTGGGAAAAACAGGTTCATGATTCCGCTTGGAGGAGGTCTAAAGAAGTGGAAATTGTTTGAGATTATTTCTCCTGCCCATCCCAGCAATATTTCTGATGTGATGTATAGTAAGTTCCATGGGAAACACACTTTGATGTACACCTCTTTGCAAAGTTCATGTCTTCACGTCTGTCACGAACTTCTTCTGTGACTCACCCAGGGAAAAACAAAAGTTGGTATGCACAAGTTTATTTGAGAGGGATTTGGGCCATAATGAAAGGGCACTGCGGGAGAATGTGCAGTTGTTTTTTCATCCTGCCATCACCAAGTTTCCTCACCATAGGTCCAACTGCGGGAGATGTCTATGGTGGAAATATTTCCCAGAAAACATGTTTCTTCACTCCCTGACTTTGCTTTCTTGTCTCTCAAGTTGTGGTGGTGATCTAATAGCATTTTTCTTTCTGCATATTTTGGCAGCGCCCCACCTCCTGGCAGACCAAATTGTCTGAGGAAAGTGAAATGCCTGTATATTGTTAACCCTAGACGGCGAGAAGCATGCCGATTGCAGAAATAGACTCCTAAATACTCGATTGCTGTTTGCCTTCTTGGGGTTCTCCCGACCACGGGAAACGAGGCTGGAAAAAAAAAGATGGAAAACCAGAGAGGGAGAGGAACGATCGGGCTCGCACGTTTCCAATGGCATTACGTGAACAAATCGAGAATCCGTCTGCCAGAATGGGCTTGTGTAACTTTGCAAATGTGCCAGAAACTTTGAAATCCCTCATCTCCTCCCCCTTTTCCGCCCTTCCTCCAATTCTCTCCTTCTCTCCCACTGCTTCATTCCAGACTTCAGCGAAAGCGAGGACGAGGCGAAGGCTGCTCCTCCTCCCCAAAACCCATCTCGCTGCAAAAGAGAGCGCCGGGAGGGAAAGAAAGAGAACGAGGTGGGACTCCCTATCTTTGGGCTGAGCGCAAAATAAGTCGGAGGTCAGTCAGTAGCTGGGAAAAGAAAAGAGGAAAGCTGCCAACTGCTACTTTTGACCTAACAGAATAACAAGGTTGGAAGGGACCTCGGAGCGCGCTCCCCTTCCCCAGTCCGGCAGTGTCCTCGAGTGGAGTTCCCGCTCGCTTGTGAAGAGACCCACGCCGTCGCCATGCGCCTCAATTCCCGGACTCCGCTTCTCCTGGGCCTTGCCCAGCTGCAAGCGTGCTTCTATTGGAGTTGCCTGCTGTGGCTGCCGGCGGACGGGATGCCCCCGAGGAATCCACCGCCACCCCCTCCCGCCGTGTGGAGACAGCGGATTCAGTGGGAGAACAACGGGCAGGTGTACAGCCTCCTCAACGTCGGCTCCCAGTATCAACCCGCGCGGCCTAAGCTGAGCCAGGAGCCCGCGCAAGGCGGCCACGTTTTGCTCCTCAGGGGCAACGGCACTTCTCCTCGCAGGGCGCCGGCAACTGCCGCAGGCGGAGACGCCCCCGCCACCCGAAAACCGGAGGCGCAGTACTGGTTCCAAGCCGGTTACCAGCAACCGTCCAGCAGAAATACCACGGACGAGCGCCGGAGGGCCGAAGGTGGCGCCGGCTCCCGAGGCCGAGCGCAAGGGAGCCCCGTGGAGAGCGCCCCCGCCAGGGCGGGCAATGAGACTGGCTTTTCTCTAAGCAATCTCCGGCAGCCGCCCCGCGGAGATGTCATGATGGGGGACGACCCCTACAACCCGCAGAAGTACACGGACGACAACCCTTATTATAACTACTATGATACCTATGAACGGCCCCCTCAGAGAGGCCGCTACCGGCCGGGGTACGGCACCGGCTATTTTCAATACGGTAAGGGCGCGCGTTTCAACCAGTTGCACCAAGGCGGTGGGGCAGGTTTGCCTTGGCTTGGCGGTCGCCCGCAGCTTTAAAAAGGGACGAGGTCAAGAGTTGCCCGTCTGTTCTGAGGAAGTTATTTAATATAATACTGCATTGCAGATACCGAATGAGCCGTTTGAGGCTGTAACGGTGTCCCCTCCAAAAAGCGAGCCTCCCAACCCCACCCCCAGATCCAGCCCAGCCGCGTGGCAACTCCCTCCCTTCTCGGCAGTCTGCGGGATTTCACCTCGGCCAGCCCCACATCCGCTGATCACCATCTGGTCCCAAGTCTCCCCCTCGCCCGGTAGTCGGTGGGGATCTTGCGCTAGAAAGCAAGATGTTGAAAGTAAAGTAATGCAAAACACCCCCCCCCCACCCCCCGATGCTGGGGGCTCTGAAGAGAGAGGCAGAAAACCCTCCTTTTTCTAGAGCAGCAACAATTCGGAGGTGGACTTTTCAACAGGGGGAAAAATTTTTTAATTATTAGCAGTGGTTCATTTTCTTAGCTGGATTCCAGTCCTTTTTGCATATAAATTCATTAGAACTTAATCAGCTCGCCCTTGACTTTAGATGTGACTATTCCATGGCAAAAAGAAAGCTTTGTAGGTATGGTAGTAGTCAAGGTTATTATTTCAAGTGCTGCTATCCGAAGGGGACCCAACCAAACTTGAAAAGTAGTAATGTAAGTCTAGATAACACTCAAATTCAAGATAGGCTGTTTTTGGCATCATTTTGAGGCTCATATTTGGCTGTAATTTAGTTAATGTAGCCTACTTAACAGATGTTCATGGCCTTTTGTTGGAGAATATCTATTGTTGCCTAAGACGACAAGTATAATTTATTGTTCTAGACACATTTCTGGTATCTGACAAACTTATTGTTTTCATCAGCTGGTGGCCTTATGAGGCAAATGCCTTTAAGATACATAAGGAAAATATTTTACAGGATCATATGTGGTATAATAGTTTCAATCTGGAAGACACATTGTATTTTAATGTTTCATTTGATCTTCTGAAAAGTGATTTTTGGTCTTATTAAACGACCATGTGTATAGGTTCCCAATTTGTCATACCATGACTAGAAACTGCAACTTTGCTGCCTTTTTCAGGAGTGAAATTTGTAGAAATTGTCTGGGCCTGATCTATTTTGTGTATATTTGTGTGTGATTTTATGCACTGCAGGGTTGCCAGATTTAGTGCCAGATCCTTATTACATCCAAGCAGCCACTTATGTCCAAAAGACGTCTATGTACAACCTGAGGTGTGCTGCTGAAGAGAATTGCCTAGCTAGGTAAGTACAGGGATGGCTTTGATTTCATATCCTCATAAAATACCTGTTGGTTAGAAAGTCTTTCCCAATCAGAAAAATCTACAGATCTGGGGGGAATACAACTCCCAGTATCCCAATCTTTCCCCATGTTGACTGGGAATTCTAGTAATCCTTCCATATTTGGAGAACGCTACATTGAAGAAGGCTAAACTACAGAATACAGGTTTATAAAAGAATTAACTTTCTGAGGCACATATTGTTTGAACATTATTGTTTTGTGTCCAGGATACATTACCAAAGATTTTGAATTGCACTGGTAACGTAACAAGAGGGAAATAGACATGGTTTCAGTAGAATTTAAGCAGTGGAGAAAATTCCTTTACTATTCCAATTCATAAAACATACTGTTTTTATTAATGTCTGCTGAAAGCTTGATGACCAAGCTACACAAGGTTTCCATGCCCTGATTGTTTAGGAATTATTTTCGTACTAGGATCTGTTTTTCATTAATCCAGAGCTTCATTAATTTTTGAAAAGAAGGGTTTTATTGAGCACATTGCTTTGTATGCAACAGAACAAAGTGGTTTTTAAATTGCTGTTTGATTATTGTAATTTCCAGTGTATTTATCAGCTATCTCCCTACTCTAATCTATTTTTTAACTCATTGCTTTTCAGCATCTAGATTAATTGATAATCAGATACCAAATCACAATCAGTGCAATTCATTTCATAATGAAGCTGTAATCGAATGCATACATGTGGAAGTAAGTTACATTAAATGCAGTGGGGCTTTCATAAACATGCATTAGGATAAAGCTATAAGATGATAATACATCTTAGAAGAAGTCCTTCAGAACAAAGCGCCTCTCACAAATGAAGATAATATATATGTGTCCCAGGATAATGTTACGGGATCCAATCTAAGCCGGTCACCAGGACCAAAGGTTTATTCTTCCAAGCTGACAAGGAGCTTCCCTATTGATTTCCCAAGCTTCAATCGTTTCACTGGCTAGTTTTGTCCCTGCTCCCCCAATATTCACAGTAGGTATGAAATTAAATGCATGTCCTTGTTCATTGTAATGTGAGGCTACCAATAAGTTCAGTCACAATGAACAAGGACATCCATTTAATTTCACAACTACTATGATAGTTGTGTGAGCAGGGACAAAAGATAGCCAGAGAAATGATTGAAGCCTGGGAAACGGGCCTCTTGTCAGTCAGTAGGAATGCTGATCTACCACCAGTCTATCAAGAACATAGGAGCTGAGGGCGCAGTGGCACAAGGAAATAACAATAACTTAATAGCCAGCGATCAACACCCCAATTAAAAACTAAAAGCTACACACAATCAGGAACCATATAAATACAATACCTAGAACAGCCCAGTGCACATATTCTGGAGAGAGAGAGAGAAGTACCCTGATCTAGCACGAGCCCAAAAGCTTGGAAGAATAAACCTTTGGCCCTGGTGGCCAACTTAGATTGGATCTTGCAAAGCACCTGTCTCGGAAGCTTGAAGTAGTTGTGCCCTCTACAAGGTTTGTGCTGCGAGTTTGAAAGCTGTGTCCAGTTGTTTGCATATTAATGTGCCTGGAAATGCAACTGCTAGCAAAAATAATGTGCCTGTAGAGAGCTACAATTCCTAGGCACACAAGTGAAAAAAAAAACCAAGGACAGTTTCCAAAGCAGACAACAAGGTTTGAAAGGATGTTGTTGCTTAAACACTAAAAAGCTTTCATTTGTGAAGCACTGCTTTTGGATCCTTTGCACAGACTTAATATGAGAGAGAAAGAGAGATTTGAAATTAAGCCTAATTGAACTGGACGAGACTTGCTTCCAGCAGAGATGTTGCAAGCTAATTTATGAACAGAGCTATGTCTGACAACCTACCCGTGATTGGTTCATGTTTGACCATAGCAATTGTAAAAAAAATGTCCATTAACATTTAAAGTTATATGAATGAAGGTGAATATACGTGTCCCAGGATAATGTTGCAGGATCCAATCTGGCTCGGCCACCGGGGCCAGAGGTTTAGTCTTCCGAGCTTTGGGACTTGTGCTGGGGCCCATCCTCGGGGAACTGGAGAGAACTTCTAGAGAGACGTTACCCGTGGATGGGCTCCAGCACAAGTCTGAAAGCTCGGAAGACACAACCTCTGGTCCCGCTGACCAACCCAGAATGGATCCTGCAACGTTTAGAGCTATGTTTCAAATTAATTTTTATAACTCAAACCAATTCATTGCAATGTTAGTGTAGATTTGATTAATATTATCACACAATATCACACAATTCCAGCTATTTTTTTTTCTGTTGAGTTTTTTTTAATCAGAAAAATTATTGACAAGACAAATGAATTTTGCAGAAATTGATGGGGAAGAAAGAACTAAAGAACCAAGAGGCGTCAACAACAGAAAGAATAGATAGAAACAAATTGGTAGAAACATTGGACTGGGTGGGTCAATAACAGAATAACAGAGTTGGAAGGGACCTTGAAAGTTTTCCAGACCAAGCCGCTGCCCAAGCAGGAAATCCTATACCATTTCAGACAAATGGTTGCCCAATCTCTTCTTAAAAACTCCGGTGTTGGAACACCCACAACTTCTAGAGGCAAGTCGTTCCACTGATTAATTGTTCTAACTAACAGGAAATTTCTCCTTAATTCTTAATTCCATGATTTCTGAAAGAAACAGAAAACCTGAGTTGCTCAGCAACCTTAATCAAAAGAAGAACATTAATAAGAAAAAGTGTTCGAAAGAATCCACAAGTAGAGTGTGGCTGTATTTTATATAGAATTAAATAAAATTATTAATTAAATAAAAATGGAAATATCTTTGAAGTTATGAATACTGATACAGAAGAATTTGTTATACTGCTGAGAGTAGTTCCACATTTCCTGTAAATGAAAGCCTGATTCAGCTAAAAAAATATCCATGTCTTTGTTATCTAGAAAGAATGAGAAACATCAATTAAATTGCATAGTCTTTTTCTAATGTAGACATTCCATAAAAATTGTTTAGCAGCTTTAGAATCTTAAAAACAGTGGATTTTCAGTGGGTTGAAAGTTCACTTGTTAGTCATGTTTAAGGTGGACCATTGAAACTAATGGGATTTATGTTAGTCCTGATCAACTTGACTCTCCATTGTTTTCACTGATGAAAGCTGCATTAAACTTGATGAATTCCAGGATGTATTCAATTGCCCAAAAGTATAAATGTGACATTTTAAACTAAGACCTACTTGTTAAACTGTTTCACTCTTTTCATATGCATATTCTTGCAGCTCAGCTTATAGATCAGATGTTAGAGACTATGATAACCGAGTACTTCTGAGATTTCCGCAGAGAGTGAAAAATCAAGGTACATCTGATTTCTTACCAAGCCGACCACGATACTCATGGGAATGGCACAGCTGTCATCAGTGAGTGAAGTGTTCAGTACGGTACTTTTAAATTATGTTTATTGTTTTTATCTGTTCCACTCTTCTTGCTGCTGCTGTGTGAAAAACATCAAAGGATAATTTGGAGCAAGCATGAGCCTGCATATCATACTTGTTCGCCCTCTTTATGTCTTTTCCTGAGTTGCACTGTAAATTCAGAAAAAGTTGCACCTTCTTTAAGGAATTATCAATAGATTAGAATGATGATGATCTTCTCTGAATAACCATTTTCCTTTGATTTATACCTCAATTATGGTGTATTTTAGATAGCAAAATGAATTGCTTAGTTTAATATATAAAAATGGTGCATAATTTAAGTGTAAACACAATACTAGAATATCAAAAATAAGTACCACCAATCACTTTAATGTTTGCATAAACTTTAATAACCAATCAAATTTAATTGAAAAGAAAAGTTGAATTATATTTAAATATCGCAATGGAGGCATTATTGGGTAAAGGTATCTAATGTGGAGTCCTTCTGTGTAAACTTGAATTATCTACATGTAAAAATACTGCAGAGATAACAGTTAACTTCCTTTTTTTATGAAAACACTAGCAAAAATCAGAATATAGCTTTTGGTCCTTACCTGCTACTTGGCAATCTTTATGACTTTAGATCATAAAAGTGATATTTATTTTGTAGTGTATGTGATTTCATTTTCTATTCAATATCTCAGGGTTCCTCAACCTGATGCTTTTTAGATACACCAGAACTAGAAAGAATTCCTAGCCAGAGTAAGAAGAATATATGTGGCCTGGGATTTCTAGTATTTGCAATTCCAAAATGCCTAGGAGATACCTGATTACGGGACTCTGAGATTTGGACCATCAAATCTGGGCTGCAAAAAATCCAGGTGACAATTAGAGGCCAGTAAAAAGATATAGCTAACCAGATTTTTGTTTGTAGAACCAGAAGATAACCCAAGAGACCATAATTTTAATTTATTTTGCATACCGTATTTTTCCATGTATAAGATGCTATTTTTTCCCTGCAAACACCTGTTTCAAACATCAGGTGCATCTTATACAAGTGCAGCGTCTTATACATGGAAAAATAATGGTAACCTCCGCAGCCCAGGGCATGCCTGTGTGGATTGCTATGCCGCCTGGTGCAGGTGTCAAGCCCCTATGGGCTTGCCACTAATGGGAGGGGGAGGGGGCAAGATCATCGGCAGGCCAAACTTCCGGATTTGTCGGCTCAGCTGTTTGGTGCTCCGCCGAACAGCTGATTGGTGCAGAGAAACTCGCATGCCAGATCGTCTTATACAAGGGTGCGTCTTATAGATGGAAAAATACGATATTTTACTAGGTCCGTTAAAAAAAAAGGAAACATTTCATAAAGAGAAGGATCTTGAATTTATGAGAATAACACAAATATTTTTAGTCAGATACATTGTTAAAACAAGACTAATAGTGGGTGATTCTACTTTCTGTATTTAGCCCCTTAAGTAATCTAATAGGAAATTTGGAAATAACATTTGTCTATTTGGATTTTAAACAAACAATATAAAACCACTTTCTTAAAAACTATATTTTATTATAATCATTGGAATGTATTATGTAAACAATAGTATCACTGGGCTTCAAAATATTTGCCTAATAGGTCTAAATAATGCAATATTTAAAATTTGGGGAAATATTATTTTGGCTATAGCCTTGTTGGGCCAAATTATTATTAAGATATTGATTTCTGATACAATAGGTTAAAGTGATCTTGTTAATTTATTAACAGACATTATCATAGCATGGATGAATTCAGTCACTATGACTTACTTGAAGCAAGCTCACATAGCAGAGTAGCTGAAGGACACAAAGCAAGTTTTTGTCTCGAAGACACTTCTTGTGACTATGGATACTATAGGCGATTTGCATGTACAGCCCACACACAGGTAAGGTGTAGTTATTAATATTGCTACTCTTTAAATAAAATTTAGATTAATATCAATCAATTTCTATTGACTATGAAACTTTGCATTACAAAGAAGTACATCATGAACAGTTTTACATCTTTTGATTTAGTTTTAAAATGCTTAATCTATCAAGAGAATAGTTAGGAATAGAATCAATGAAAACTGATGTTTAAGTTCCTTTAAGAATGGTGAGTAACATCTTTCTAATCTAGCCAGTAGAATCAGTTAGTATGAAATACAGATAGTCTTCACTTTATGATTAGTTGCTTTATGACTAAAATTATGGCAGCCATAATATTTATGTGTGATGGGATGCAAATCATCCCTGGCTGTCATAAAATGGTTGCGCTGTTGCCCCCAGGGTCACATGACTATATGTTGGGTGGGTCAGCTTTATGATTGGTCACAGCATTCTGCGGTCACATGACTTGGATTCACAATGTTGTTTGCTAGTTTCTGACATTTGCTATTTCCAACAAAAAAAAACTCCTATTAACAACTGGCTATCAGCTACATTTACTTAATGACCACTGTATTTGCTGAGCAATCTCCACAAAAAAGGCTTGGAAAATTACTTCCAGTCATATGTGAACCCCAACTTATGACTGCAATGACTTACGACCATCATTCCATCATTCAATTACGGTAATATAGTTAAATCCAGGACTACTGGTATCCTTAACAGAATAGTACAAAGAATTCTATCTAATAATCAGAATAGAGCTGGAAGGGACCTTGGAGGTCTTCTAGTCCAACCCCCTGCTCAAGTAGGAGTTCCTATATCATTTCAGACAAGTGGCTATCCAGTCTCTTCTTATCTATGAAGAGTTGCTCTGGGGATCTTAGTGTTAAGTTTTCTTAAAAATGGGCAACAGTTCTTGATAATCTTCCCTCAAAATAAAGAATGAGAATAAAAATCATAAGACTGCATAATTATGAACCTGATCTTGATTATCCTGTTGCCTTTTGGGATACAGCTCTCCTTTAGTATATAGCAATAGTTTGTAAATGATTTGTTTTACTCACTTGAAATATGTAATGCAAATAATCAAGATCATTATTAAAAATCATGATTTTTAATTAAATTTCATTCCCAGGATGCTATTAATTTTCATTGATTATACCATCAGATTAAATTGAGTATAATCGTGTTCAAATTTAGCAATTTGTCTTTCCTTAAACAATTTTCAATTTCAATTTAATGTTGATATATAGTATTATATCAGTAATTATAGATCCTTTTCAAAGGTTTATTGCATTTTAAAGCTTGGTACAGAGAATTACTTAGCTCAGTTTTTCTCAACCGTGGCAACTTTAAGACTTCAACTCCCAGAATACTCCATCCAGTGAATCAGAAATGATATGAAAGAAGGGCATCGGACTCTGCACAAGAGCAGTTTTCTTGGTTTTTACGATTTGTTTAAGCAGCTCAATTTTTTGAAACTTCCACATAAGCCTGAAAAAGAGATGTGGCTGTTGCTTTAATTTTAATGAGCAGATTTGCTAAGATTAACTTTGAGTTTGTAATAGTTTGCTCACTTCTCTTGGTGCATTGGTTTAAAGGAAATATCAACATTATCATCAGCTTCGGTTTGTATCTTTCTGCCCTTAGTGTTATGAATCATTTAGTTACAGTATAAACTCAATACTCTAGCAGTGTTTCATGAACAAGTATTTTTTATTAAATATTAATTTAAATAATCAAATTATAATATATAATGTACCACAAATAAGTAGCACAGGGCCAGTTTGGTGTAGTGGTGAAGGCATCAGGCTAGAAACCAGGAGACAGTGATGTCTAGTCCTGCCTTAGGCACAAAGCCAGTCACAAACTGACCTTGGGCCAGTCACTTAATCTCAGCCGTCAGCCCTAGGAAGTTAGCAATGGGAAACCACTTCTAAAAACTTGCCAAGAAAATAGTAAGGGTCTGAATGGAAGAAACAGCAAAGATCATATTCTTATATCATCTACATCAAACTAGATACACATTTGCAAAAATCTAATAATTATGCTTCGACATTACCTACATTTAAAAAGTAATAGCATTAATATTGAACAGACCATAGATAAAATCTTGATTCAGAGTCCTGTTCAGGTGAAAATTACTGACATTCTCTCTTCTATTATTTTGACTTGCTATAGACATATCCTCCTGTTCCTACATACATTTTTCAGCAGCATTACTTCAGTTTTACCATAGCTAACAGAAGTGTATTGCATCATAATCAATTTCAACACTGTCCTTGACTATATTCTGATTGACATGGCTTAAAGCATATTAAGGTCTGGATGCAACTGGCAATATTTAGTCTCTGCAGCATCTATCTTACAAATAAGTAACCAACTGTATCAAGCCTTATAGTATCGTACTTTGAATTTTTTTAAAGAATTTATCTTTATCTCATTTTAAGATGATTATTATAAAGATCTTCATTTTATGAAGCATTTTCCCCAGCAATTACTGAAAACTGCAGTCTGATTCCAAATTTAAAAATATATTCAGCTGCCAGCATTTAATATACCCATGACCTTCCTTTCCATAGCCAAGACTGTTCTTGCCAAATGACACATAGTCTGTGACTAAACATTATACTTTTACTAGAACCAGTCAAAATATCACTTAGAGTAATTTCATAGTAGAGAAAGGGATAGATCTTGTATATTGGAAATTGTGAAGATTATATTTGTAGCTTAAATGGAGCTATCCTCTCAAGATATTCAAGCATGGTAGCAGTTAGAGGACAGCAACATTAAGAATTTGTTTTACTGGCTTATTCCAATGGATGTCACTGTTTGCTTTTAGACCAGCCTATGGGAAGTATTAGACTTTAAATACTTCAAGAAGAAAAATCTGCCAGTATTTGAAGATTGTTGAAGGCTTCAGTTATGGCAAAGATAGACCACTAATCTTTACAGAAGAAAAGTTACTATTCTACAAGTAATATATGTCTATTGTACTGTATTTTTAAATGGTTATTCTCTCAGTTTTTTTAAAAAATCAGCATTACATTTCTAGGGACTGAGTCCTGGTTGTTACGATACCTACAACGCTGATATAGACTGCCAGTGGATTGATATTACAGATGTTAAACCTGGAAATTACATTTTAAAGGTAATCAAATTTCATTAATTAAAAAGCCCAAACATGTTTAGTATTATATGAAACCTGTAAAGTTTAGCATGTATTTCTTTTGTAGGTTAGCGTCAACCCAAGTTACTTGGTACCAGAATCAGACTATTCCAACAACATTGTACGTTGTGATATCCGCTATACAGGCCATCATGCATATGCCTCTGGGTGTACAATTTCCCCGTAAGTTCTTTCTCGCTTCTCTCTAGTATTTTGCAGCAGTAATAGTAAAATGTAGCATGAAGATAGAAGTGCATTGTAATGATAGAAAGCATATCAAGTATTTTTTTTAATGAAATTGTCAGACACAATGTGCAACTAAAGTTATGTGCTATACTTCTATAAGGGATTTATGTACTCTTTTTCCTTCCCATGCAGTGGCTATTCTTTTAAGTAGAATTCTGCATTGATCTTAATACAAATTTTCACACAAGCCAGGAGCCTAATTATTTGAGCTAGCTATTGTTCAAATTATCCTTCCTTAACCAATTTGCTTTATTACTTTTGAATACAGTAAAGTAAAATATTTTGTAAAACGAACTGTCATCTAATATGTGGAGGATGTCATGTTGAGAATACTAACTTTCTAGCCAAAGCCTCCCTCCCCCAAAAAAGTTTGGTTATGATTGGGAATTACATTCATTTTAAAAGTAAAATATTTATTGTCCTCAATAAAGTGGAAGTTGTTTTAGGAAGAGGCTTAAAAGCATTGCGTATTGGGGCTGTACATCAATGTGAATTAACTTATAAAGGAGATGTATGTGCTTTCAGGATATGACTTGGATGAAACCAGGAAACAGATATAGCCGTTTTGAAAGGTTGCTACATTTGCAAGCCATATTTGTGGAACTGAATCCTTACAAAGTAGGACTGGGCAGTACTTCAGATTCAGTTCCCAAACGGTTTTGCAGAGTACATGGGACTTGTCTGTAACTTTTTAAAGCAGCTGGATGTTTTCCATCCAATTGCTGTGCAGAAACACATGCAATCCTGGGAAAAGACGTGGCTGCTTTAGAGATTTGCAGATAGGTGTTACATTCTGGGTTCCTACATGCTCTGGAGTACTATTATGATTTCACATATCTGGAACTGGGCCTATGTCTGCCTCTATTTATACTTGTTTTGGTTTCATGTTAAATCCATTCCATTATAAAACTGAAATTGCATAACTTTCATTTTTTCCATAAATCTGTCTAATCGAGTGGCCTAGAATGAACCTAGAATAATGCCAGATTTGATTTTGTTTGCCAAAGCATGATACTCAAATTGGATTGTTTATGAAATACTTCTGTAGAAATTCTGTTTTGAACGTTTAAAGGGATTGGTAGTTCCCTACTGCTGCATGAATTTTACAAACAGCTGCTTTTATTCCTAGCACACACTGACAAATCCCTAATAGTAGCTTATCTATTTAAAATATAGATCATCGTCACAATTATGACCCGCTTTGACTTCCCTAGCTCAAAATCATGTAAATATATCTTAAAGTAGAACACCTATGTAGTTGTTAGGAAGTTTAGCATTTTCTATTTTCCAACATGCCTATATCTGAAGACTTTGTCATGCTTCTCTGTATAAATATTTAAGTAGCTACCTAAGCATGGCATTTGCACATCTCAGATTTAATATTAATCTTTCAGTAACTAAGATGATTTATAACAATGTAACTTTTGCTTTAATCTCTCTAGAGCCAATTTCCCTATTGTTTCCCTTTATTCTTTAATTTGCATTCAAGAATTCAGCATTTGGCATCTACCAATATTGCCGCTACATGCTATTTATCAAATAACAAATTGAATTTCACTATCAGTTTGAAGTAATGGTTGGTTTACAGAATCAATGGAGGGACCATACTTTTTTGCTGCAGCCCAAGCTAATGAGTTCTATTAACAGAACTGAGAATTTGACATCTCAAAATTAAAGTTTAAACACTGGAAATTGCTGTCTGTGCTATCGGTCCCAGCAGAATGTATAGGTGGTCCCCGACTTACAATAGTTCACTTAATGACCATTCAAAGTTACAACGGGACTGAACAAAATGACTTGTGACCATTTTTCACATTTACGACCATTGCAGCACCCCCATGGTCACGTGATCAAAATTCAGATGCTTGGCAACTGATACTCAGGACGGTTGCAGTGTCCCGGGGACATGTGATTGCCTTTTCTAACCTTCTGACAAGCAAAGTCAATGGGGAAGCCAGATTCACTTAACAACTGTGATACTAACTTAACAGCTACAGTGATTCTCTTAGCAACTGTGGCAAGCACGGTTGTAAAATGGGGCAAAACTCACTTAATAACTATCTCACTTAGCAACAGAATTTTGGGCTCAATTGTGGTCGTAGGTCGAGGATTACCTGTATATGCAGGCACAGACAAGCAAGGATAGCCTTTAAAGCAGCTCTGAAAGCCTCCTAAAAGATGCTACTACATTACTCCTTCCTGCTTTTAGGGTGTTTCATTCGTGCCAGTACAGATAGTGAACTATCTGTTTAGTGCTTCTGTCTGCAGTGTTCATGAAAACAGTTTAAACAAAAGACAATTACCTAATAAGAGTAGGCAAATTAGCTGAAATCCAATTCAGATTAATAATCCTGTTTGAATTTTTGAGTTGACTCATCAGTTTTAATTGGAACAATGTGTATATAATCAGAAATCATTTGAATTTTCAGATTGAATTGTCTTGATTAAAAAAATATTCTGATGACTCAAATCAAATCTCATCCAAATTGAATTTCTAAATTGAAATTTACCACATTCCCAATAGCTAAAAATAGTTACTGTATTTTAAAAATTGTTATTTGTAATTTTCTGTGCAGCATTCTGTTCCTAATAATAAACTTGTCTTTTTTTCTGTAGATACTAAGATGAAAGAAAATTGGTTTACTGATACCCAAGATTTGGAGATGCAATTATTTTATAAACTGAATAGGATGTAAACACTTTTGAAAAATGAGAAGGACCAGAATATATACAAAGAATTTTAATCTGACTCTGAAGTCTTAAGAACTTCTTCAAAATGAATTGCTTGTTTGATTAAGCTATCCAGCTTTTGAAGCCAGTGAGACAATGGTACTCTATAGAAAGAATAATGAATTCTAAAGGAAGTTAACCTACTTATATAAATATCTTTCCCATTGACTACTGGAAATCAGTATAATATTTGAGAGTGCTTTTTAGAAATATAAAAGGTGCTATAGCATAGGCAGGTACTCAAAGAGCTGCTTTGTTTCATTGGATGGTTCAGGCACGTCTAATGGGAGTTCAAACATTTATGTTTAAATAGCAATAGGCCCATTGCTTCATAGTATCATGAAAGTCTTCTAACATCTTTTTGTTACCAACAGTCAACGGTGCTAGTATCCAAATCCTCTGGATTATAGAATAATTTCATAGTTCTTTGATATGCAGTCATGTAATACTGATTGTGAAGAGTATAGGAAGGAACTGAAGTTGTGGAACAAATTGGTAGGGAGGATGAAGCTTCCACAAATACCAAAGCTTCATTTTTTTGTCTAATAGATACAAAAGTAGGCTTCATTTTAAAGGACAAATTTTAATGCTTAAACACCAGATAGCATACAAAATGATTCTATTTTTAAAGCATTAGCAGGCAAATAACCTTAAACCAAAAAGTATATCAGTATTTTAAAACATTACTTAGAATATTAAAACACCACATTTGTCTATTTCCAGTGCTTCCTGCAGACTGCTTTGCATTTTCTCCTCTTCCTTTCCCTCAACTGGAAAGAGTTTCAATTACAAATGTTGGAAAGATTTTGAATTACAGATGTTTAGAAACCACTTCCCATGAATTGGACTTGGATAACAGATTGAAAATGATATATGCTCACCAGAAAAAAAGTTCATAAGCTTGATGCTTTATGTTGTGTTCCATTATAAAATCTAGTTTCTAGCTACGTGGAAAAAAACCATTCAGGTGAAGTCATAAAATGAGCCTTACCCAGATTTGTCTCTGTACCTCATGAATATACAAGAAAATGTTCTTTTAAAGTGTTTGTTTAGGAAATCAAAATGAATTATTTTATACATATACGCAAGCACAGATGTGCTCATATAGATATACTCAAACCTGTAAGCACCTGCATCAGCCAGGTATTATACAGACTTGGAAATAAAGTTGCAGTTCAGATTTCTACTTGGGATATTACATAGACCAAACCAAATTTGAAGCACAGTTAATTATACTAAGGAATAGTAAATCAACTTACCGGTAAAACAGGTTGAAATTTTTCCTCAAAATGGATATATAAATCCTCATTCACTGAATCATCTTGACATAGAATTCTTAAATTGTGACATGACATGTAACATTTGGAATAAAAAAAAATTGTGGAAAGATTTTATAGTTAGAATCCCAAACATTTGGGTGCTTTTTAACTTTCATTGTCCAATTGTCTGTGGTGAGATTCCCTTCCATTCTAAAGCAAATTTCCCCAAATCTGCTCTGGAACACCTACGACACTGCATTGACAAAAATTAGCAATTTACCTTCATCCAATGAGCACTATAATTTGTTCCACCCATTTAGATTAAGCATTTATTCTATCATTCAAGCAATGTGCCCACAAGTCTGTGTAGACAAAATCACAAGACTGGATCCTTCCTATCTACTTGTCAAGGCCTCCTTATCTTTTTGATGGATGTTGAACTGCCAGTCCTGATCATATTCTCAACCGCACATTAACATATGTTGCACTATTATGTCAACCACTTGAATTGTTTATACCTAAGCTCCTGTTTAAAAAAAAACACCCAGATTTTTGTAGCAAGGAACTGTAACTGGTATTGTGACACCAGTAACTACTAAGAGGACAGTCCCTCAGGAAAGTTGTTGATCTTCTCTCAAGTAAGGTAAGAGATAGTTGGCCTGACAATTGAGTAACTGCAATACAGGATCATAATGTAAAAGATGCATTTTTTCTTATGATAAAACCATATTTTCATATATAAAAGTAGCATATCTGTTATTTATTATGTGAACAGAAGGTGTGTATAGAATCCAGAGAAGGGCATGAACAGAAAAGGATACTATTTTGTGAAGGATGCTGTAATTTAAGAATTTTTGTTCACCTTAAATAATGAAGTAGAATTCCTAAATCATAAGGAATATTTCTTTCTTATCAACTTGGCCACTCAACTGGAAGAAACGTTGAATGTGGTAAAGATCACAGGAGAGTTCCACATAGTGAGGTTGACCCATCTATGTGACTTTTACTAAAAACAGAAACCTTGCTGTGCCAAATATTTAATGATGCACTACATTAAAAGATTTTTTTTAACGACAAACTAATAATGGAAATTTCAATACATTCCTATCACTTCAAGCTGGATATAACTAAAGTACTATACTCATTTCGTTAAAAGTGGTCTATCCTGTGCTTTTCAACACAACAAAGATTTTCACATTCTACAAATTACAAAGGTGCTTATATTTAACTTGAACTGAAAAAAGTAAATATCTTATTTTCCCAAGAACCTTACTTTAAAATCTAAACATCTTTCTATGAAGTAATTTATAATTAATCATACACTAACATTGTATTCTTCACAGAACTTCCATATTCTTATACTGTTTGCAAATTTATGTGAAAATGACAAATAAAAACGTTTCAAATGCTCAAAGTCTCCTCTAGTTTCAACCAAAATGTAGTCTAGATCTTTAATAAGTTAAATCTTTATGTCTATGATCTGGCATTCTTTTACGGAGAGACATTTCAAATCTCTAATAAAAATATAAATTTGAGACTTTGCACAAGATATGGTTGAGAAGGAATAGGAGCTCAGTGGTTTGGATGTGAAAACAGGTTTTGATCCATGTATTACTGGTGAATTTACATCTGGATAAAAACTATCAGCTAGACAGGGTTCTGGATTGTACAGCAGACATTTCTTTAAACCAAATAGTGTTTGCATTTCTTTGAATGCAAGTAGCATTAAATGGTTGCATTTCATACCAACAGATCTCATTATAGCTCACAACACTAAGAAGTAAAGGTTAAAAACTCAACTTGTTTGTCTCGCTACCTTACCAATGTTGCTGCCTCACATAAAATTATATAGTTTCTACATCTATTTTGATTTTGTTACTTTATATGGATATACTGCATAGATGTGCATACATGAACATTTTATAGAGACTCTTCATCTACATCCTACTTAATCAGAAAACCCCCCCGATTTCTGTTAATATAGACTAGGCATATTTTGGAATGGTTCCAAACTATTGTATAATGTTATTACAATTACTCTTAACCATCTTAATATTACATTCTAAGGAAAAGTATCTCCAGATTGAATTTAACACCTGGGGACTTCATGAATATAGCCATGTTATTTCCTTCGCAATGATATGAAAATGGTTACTTTCTTCTGCCAGGATACGTTTGATCTTGTAGTCTAGTTTACAGCCCTGAATATCTCAATTATTAACCAGGACCTAATCCTACTTTGCTTTTCAAGATCAGCCATGATTGGCTAGCTGCTATCTGGGCTCCAAGCAGCATTTAAGACAAATCTTTCATCAGCTGACAAATGGGATTTGAGGAAGGGTTTTTACCCCTTTGGATGTATTAAAGGTAGATTGCTGCTTAAACCTACTTGTGCTGTTTTTGTCCCCAAAACTGCACTTCTTTTTTCAGCAGCATGAGTTCTGAGGATTTATTGAATCCCATTGGCCCTTAAACCTAGGAGAGTCAGTTTGGTGTAGTGGTTGTGATATTGAACCAGAAATGACAAAAACCTAGATTCATCACCAGTCATGGAAACTCACTCAATGATTTTTGGGCAGGCAATCTTGCAATTTAATCTACTGCACAGAATTCTTATGGAGAATACAGAAGGAAGTCCAACAAACACCACTCTGAATTTCTGGATAAAAGTGGGATATAAATAAATAGGTTGCCAATTTCTGCAATGTAGAAATATAAGAAATAAAAAATCATACTGCTGGATAATCTCACCCAGATGTTTCATGTAGATATTATAGAATAGGGAGAATATATCGAGCTGTGAGGAACTCCACAAAGAAGAGGCTCTGGGATAAATTTCTCCCTTCTCATCAATACCAGTTGGACCCATTCCCCTCATACCGTCATAATACTGAAAGCCACTGAGAGGTCAAAAATAATATGGATGGACACATCATCCCCTTCTTCCACCAGAGGTTATCCATAATTGTGATAAATTCTGTCTCTGTCCTGTGTCCCAGCATGCAACCTGAGTGGAAGGGGTCCAGATAATTTGCTTCCTGTGGGTTTCTATGAACTTGTAGCACAACTACCTTGCCAATAGGAGAGAGGATGAAAGTTATCCAATATAGTCTAGCAATGGTATTTTGAGGAGAGGACTACCTTATTTTTCAGTGTTTGTGGGACCAGCTCTCAAGGCTACCGCCTGGATCCAACTATATATCAATAATCCCACATGATTTCTAGAGCCCAACCTGACAGGTAGGATCTCCCATTTGGGGATGCAGCAGAGACAGTGCCTCTGAAAGCTGCCAGAGTATTCTAGATAACCATAGCTATTCTATCACCCATTCTAGAATACTTGATTGATATCATACCAATCTGGTATTCAGTAGCAGCAGCAGCTGAAATCCCAGGCCTCTAAAAATATGCCTGGGAATTGAGGTAGAATACAGGGCTCCAGAATGCAGAACAGAAAACAAGATCATGTTCCCCAAAAGAACTCTTCATAATGGTGGTAAAATAGCTATAGTATTGGCCAAAATTGTGGAAACCTTTTGGGAAGTGTACAGTAGAAATGCCACCTTTGGTTAAGTTTCCACCAATTTTTCTTCTAATTTCTTTATAACCTTGTTCACTTAATAATACTATTTTACATCACTTTCTGGGAAACCAGTCAACTCTTTGCACCATTACTTTAATTTTATTAATTTTATTAATTTTATTACGTTTTACAAGCTCACTAAAGGAAAGAAAAAAACCCCCAACCAACTTGATAGCGATCACATAACACAGGCACGTCAAACTCGCGATGTCACGTGACGTCGTGCGACGTATCGGAGCTTTTACTCCATTGCCGGCAATGGGGTGGGCACGGTTTTGGGATGACGCGTCCAGTCCGTGGTCCGGCAGTTTGACACCCCTGACATAACACACTGACAAATGTCCTCCTCTCAGCTTCAATACATGACATCAATAACTGAATCCTACTGTGATCTGATTGGCTCATTGCCAAAACAAGATGATACCTGATTGGCTCTCTAACCACTCAGTCAGATGAAGGAAAGCTACCTGATATCAACCTAAGCAAGTTGTGCTTCCTTTTTCTGGTTATTTGGCTATAACTTTTCTTAGAATACAGTACAGATAATTGAACAAACTTTGTTGCATTACATTCTTGATTATCTTTCCATTGATATATAATTTTATGGTACTACTCCAAAAAAAAGTGGTGTTAGTAGCCATCAAATCTCAAAAATACACTTTTCTCAAAGGGTTTCCACAATTTTGGCCACTACTGTATAGCTCTAAATGGAGATTGCACTGCAGACACAAGCCGAACTAGCAATAGAGGCACCAGCCCACCTCAGCTTCTAGGAGCCCATAGTGGTTAGCTATCAAAGTCTCCAGCTCCCCAAGGTGCCCTATTGCCACTGCTTAAGGATATCCATTACTGTCTAATCTTCCATAGCCACCTTCACCTGCAAAGGCACATCATGCCTCCTCCAGTGGTATAAACAACTTCTTTGCTGCATTATGCTGCCAGTTGCCAAACAGTTCATTAGTACAATAAAGGCAGAGGCCCAATTCTGCCATTTCCGCTGGTACTCTGGGGAATTCAAGCATTATTCCCAATACAGCAGCAGGCCAAGAACCAAGCATTTCTTGCTTTTATTCATTTGTCGCTAAAAGTCCCAACATAGGGCAAAGCCTATCTTGGCTCAACTGAGGCACCGTTCTCTTTCTGATCTGTCAAAATAGGGGAAACCTATTTGGGAGATCCCTCAATCTGTTCCTGCTCACTGCAATCCTTCTTCAATATATTAAAGCCAACAAGCTGAGCTGTTAGGTACCTTAAAAAGCAATACCAACAGGTTTTTTCACCAATTACAAAAAAAGTGCAACACCGTAATAATCTGCAAATTATGCATAGCATAAAGCATTTTCAAATTTGTTTCAGATAACAAAAATTAAAAAATATTTTTATAACTGGTTTCCACTGAAGATTTTATTTAGTATAAAAGTAAACTTAATATAAAAGATAACTGACTGTATAATATCCAATAAAAAAGTAAGAAATAATAAAAGTTAAAATTATAGTAACCAGCTACTGGAGGCAAACTAGTCATTATATAGACCATCTACACTAAATATATTTTAAATATATTTCAAATAATGTACACAAGCAATCCAACATTTAAGATTACTTTCTTACTCCCTTAATAATTAACTATTCCTCAATAGTTGCACAAAATGTACGCAACTATCTGCAGCCTACACTTCCTTAATTAATCAACTCTAGATAAGTGTAGAGGTAATATTTTTAAATGCAAATACTTTTATATTCTCAAAATTTTAAAGACCAAATAAAAGCATTGTCATGTTCCATTTCAATTTTCATTTGGAATCTATTCTACCACTACCATGGTTTTACATCAGCTATATGTTTAGAAGAATAACTTTCTGAATATTTCACAAATATTCTATCAAGCACCCTCTAGTTTTAAAGTTTACAGTGCTTAATCAGGCCATCAACTTGTTCAGGAAATAGTAACTAAACAGAAAGGCTATATTTCATGCCATAAATGAAGCAATGTGGTATTTTAAATTATAGATTTATTATTTCAAAGGTAAAGTCTACTTTCATAAGATTCATCAATTATTCTTCAAACTGCATACATGTTTCTGTTTCATATCCATGACCACAGGAAAGAAGCAGTTGAGTAGGGGCTAAATGAAAACAAACAAAACCATCAAACCATACAATCAACCTTGCAACCAAAATCAATCTTGCAACTGAATTAGCATTTAAATGCATATAAACCAAACATATTGTTACAATGAAGGTGGAATAAATAAGAACCCACTGTCTTCTTAGTTTTAATTTAGCTATTTAGAGCTCTCTTCTTCCTCTCTTGGTTAATAAACATCTTGCAGATCATCAGCAATGGGTCTTAGAAGATTCAAAGCATTCTCTGTGAAGGATTTCTACAGGTTGATTCGACAGACCAGATTGAACCCACTGATCTTTTTATGCAAGATCTCTATAAGATCACCTAAAAATATGTTTGCTAAAAAACAGGAATGTTGTGCAATGAAAAATTATTTTTCCTCAAAGTAATTTTTTTAGCTTATACTGCTTCACACATTTGCTGCAAGATTGTTAATATGCAACACTGCAAAAACAGCTAAAAATCAGTGATGCCATCTTTAAAAAGAAAATTCTAATCTTCAAATTTAATTTTTTTCCCTTGGAATGCTGTAATTTGAGATATTTGCTCTCGCATTTTTCTGCTAGCTTCCCATGATGGATGAAGAGGTTGATGTGGAGGGCTCCTCTTAATAGTATATTTCACTGCTGAACTTTTAGGCATCCGTTTCTGTGGGTGATTTTTTTCAAAAGCTGTACAAAAATTAACAAAGAATAAAGTGTAAATAACTCAATCAGTTATTTATTCAATCAGTTATTTGCTCAACTTTAGTTGTGTAACAATACCAAAATTTAGAACGATTTTATTCTTAGAAAGATTCAATGTCATTTCCAACAGCCTTTATTGAAAGAGATTCTCAAAGATCCCCTTTGAATAGAGATTGTTAACGTGATGGAGAAATAATTGAAATAATGAAACATTATTTTATAGTGTCCTCCCTACACAGACATTCACCAAGAATTATCATCTCCATTCTTTACTTAATACCCTGGCCATTCTGATTTCTTTTATTTTAAGTTGTTATTGTCAGACAAATCAGATTTTATTTCCTTGATTATGGCTAAGTACTGTTATATAGTTTGTACAGTATGCCATATGTTTTCCTGAGTCTTCTTAGATATTTCAGAACTTTTTTGTTTTTATCCTAATTGTGATATTATTGCTTTATTTGCTGTCTAGGACCAAATAAAAACTAATTGATTGACTGAAAGTATTAGTAACTTTTCACATATTACAGATTATATTATAAACTGATGGTAAACCCCATTCATATATTTATTAAGCAGAAACAACTTTAATATTGTTAGACACATTTCAGTTTTTAGACTATTAAACATACTAATACTGAGAAATTCAAAACCCATGATGAATAAAAACATTATATAATTAATGTAAAGCTAGATTTCATTCTCCATGAGTCCAAACAAATGCCAAGAATATTACTTTAGTATTCTCACTTACTTGTCTTGTTTATACGAAGATGGCCTCTAATATTTCTAGAATAAAAAATATAAAAGTTAACAGTGAAAAAGACAATAGTTTCAAGCAAAGAACAACACACTGCTCTTTAATAATGAATTCAAAAATTGAATCTAATGTACATACATAAATGCATATTTACATAAGTGTGCTTACATGGCCAAGGTAAGTCAAATATGACTTAATTTCTATAATGTTTCCCAAAATTAATCTAGATGCTTCTTAATCTGTTAATAGTGCTAATACTATCCAGTTTCTCTGGGTAACTTTCTATATGAAAACTGACTCGAACAGAATAACTAGGAAGGGATCATGTAAAGCAGACAGTAGGGAAAACACATAGCTTGGCCATAGATAGTAGATGCAGTATTACTTTGCTATGGGGAAAAAACATAGAACATCAAAACACAACTTCATACAAAGCTATTTTTCCTTGAAATATGCAGCACATAAATTACAGGCATGCATTTAATGACATGTTTCTATGATAGTAATTCCTTAATGCTATGTTTATTGGGCCTAACTGGAATCTGCTTTCCTCACTATAATGCTCCTTCTGTTTCCTCTCTCTGGAAACTTGGTACACAAATTCAGTCCCAAGTGCATAATTCGTTTTTGCTACATGCCACATTAAAGAGATGGGGAAAACCTCTAGGTCCTGGGCTTGAATCTCAAGACTGAGGAGGATACTATTCTCTTACATTTCATTATCAGAAAAATACAAGTTGTTTTTACACTATTGTTTGAACATTTTTAAACATTGTTCCAACAAATCACTCATCAAATTTTCAGTCCAAAAAATTGTTCCTACCTTTTCACATGTTCAGGTTTTTGAGTGTTGGACAATGAATAATAAAACTCAGATTCTAGTTTCCCTGCTTTTGAACTCTGATTGCTGTCTTTGGAATTTGGGTCTGTAGGCTGTGAAGTATTAGCCGTTCTCTTTTTTTTCATTCTCTTTACTTTGCCAATGAAGAAATCATCATTGTTGTTACTTTCATCGGTGCCAGAAGACTCATTATAGAACCTCTCTTCTGTACTGTCATCAAAACATTCCTCCTTTCCACTGCCCTCATTTTTACCTGGACCTTCATCAGAGCCATCTACTGCTTTGTTTACAATGTCATTCAAATATACTTTTTCTTGTGAATATTCAGAGTTTCCAGTTTGATCCTGATGAATTAATTTACCATTTTCTGTGTCAGGCACAGCAGAAGTGTATGAGGGACATTTTTTCATATTATCTGCCATTTTCTGTATCCCACTCTCAAAATTGTGTTTTTTCCCCCTATCAATTTGTGGTTTTTCGATTGTCATTGTTTTAGCTCGAGATTCAGCTTGTTTAAGTGTTTTGCTACTAACAGAATGCTGGGTCTCTCCAAGATGCTTATTAAGCTGCTCTTCCAGTTGTTGTTCTGTTGAAGAAATAGCTCTAGCTGGTTTCTGTCTCGCATTTTTAAAATCTTCCACTGCAGCTAAGAAAAAGAAACTCAGGTTTGATTAAAAAAAAAGCAACAAGTTATATATATACGCCCAGTAATAATAAAGAAGTTATAAAACAATCCTGTTATTTACAAGTTTAAGTAGTTTACGTCTCCTCAAAGTCTTTATTTAATGAACTATATGTCTTTTCTACTAATTATGTTGCTTTCACAGCATTACTAGGGATTTTAGAATCCTTGGTTCTTTTCATTAGTTTTTAGCTTCGCAAGGAGGAGGCAGAATAAACAGAATGCAAAAAAAATTAAAATGCATGGCAACTATAAATGTTCTTCTTCAGAGGCTAACAATATATAGACACATTATTGTACAGTTTAAGAAACATTCAAGCAAGACACTGCAAGTATAGAAACAATCTTGTACACAGATGAGTTGGGGTGAATTCTGCTTACCTTTAATATTAGCAATTTTGGTCTTCAATAGTGGATGAGATATCAATCTAGCAATTGCTCTGTCTCTTGCTGTAGAATTGGGCTATATTAAGAAAATGAAAAATTATGTTGAATGAGACAACATAGTAACAAAACAGAAAAGTACATAGAGGTATTTGATCCTGCAAGAATGTTCCTTGAAACAAGGGTGTATTGTGAAGCTCAACATTATGTCATGGGCCTTTCAATCCCAAATTAGAGCTGCCACATTGCTTAAGAACTGCCTATATGCCATTCAAAATGGCAGAATACAACTTCAACCAAAAGCTGATATTCACTTCTCTAAAGACCCAGATCCTCCTAGAGATTTTTGTGGTAGAATGACCGGTTTCAAAAGAAGGAAATAATGTGCGTTTTGCATTTGTTCAAACATCTTAAATAATTTTCCCCATAGCATTCAAGCTACATAGTCTCTTAATACATACAAATTTAAACACCTAAGAATCTACTGCTTGACATTTCATTGACTAAATAAATTGAACTGAATTCACTAGACCTTGTTTTTATATGTTGTATCTTTTCCATATCTTAAAAGTTATTGCTGCTGTATTGTGAAATATAATTGAAGCAGATGGTCATTATTTCATTCTAAAGAAAAATTGAACAGACAGTACAACAAATCTTGCTTTCTTTAGATTTTATATCCATCTTCCATAGATGCTTTTCCCAAATACATAACCATCCATACAAAGCACCAGCTTGTCTCCTCAACGAAGTGGTACCTATTTATCTACTCGCATGTAACATGCTTTTGAACCACTAGGTAGGCAGAAGCTGAGACAAGTGACGGGAGCTCACCCGCCTGGTTCTATACAGTTGTCAACTACAAATGAGAGAGAGAGAGAGAGAGAGAGAGGGAGGGAGGGAGGGAGGGAGGGAGAGAGAGAGAGAGAGAGAGAGAGAGAGAGAGAGAGAGGGAGGGAGGGAGAGAGGGAGAGAGAGAGGGAGAGAGAGAGGGAGAGAGGGAGAGGAAAGAGAAAGAGAGGGAGAGGAAAGAGAGAGAGAGAGGAAAGAGAGAGAGAGAGGGAGAAAGAGGAAAGAGAGAGAGGAGAGAAAGAGAGGGGGGAGAGGAAAGAGACAGGAAGAGAGGGAGAGAAAGAGAGAGGAGGAGAAAGAGAGAGAGAGAGAGGAGAGGAAAGAGAGAGAAAGAGAGGGAGAGAGAGGAAAGAGAGAGAGAGGGAGGGAGAGGAAAGAGAGAGAGAACTCATGCACAGCAGCTTCTATTTCTTTTTAATTAAACTCTTCAATCAAGCTTCTCCCCCTTGTCCAAGTGGCTCTTTGAGTGTTTAAGGTTGCAGACCCCTGGTATAGGCTATAGTAACAGAATCTTGAAAGCTGACTATGTTCCCCCTCCCCTCCCAATACCCCAGGGAATAAAGATGCAATCAGTTTGATTTTCTTTTTAATGCCTTCTTCAAACATTCTTGTTAACTGTCACTGCAGAGTTTCTCCATCAGTGGCTGTCCATAATGCCTGAGCAGGATATATAAAATGGGGGAAATTCTCCTACTTGGGCAAGCTGACATGGACATTCTGCAGGTTACAGCAAGGGAAATATTCATGCAACTTCAGCAAAAGGTTTATATGCAGATGAGATGATCATCAATAGAATTGACACATTCAGGGAATCCGAGCTTATGATCATAGTGAAGCTTAATGACTATACTGTAAATAGACAAAATCTTCAAGTTAAATATTCTTCCATTTAAATAGTAATCTAAAAGAGGAATATTTATAACTAACTTTTTCTTGAACTAGTTTTGCTAAAAGATATATTCTTTGGCATTGAACAAGATACTAATTAGGCAAAAAAAATCTACAGCTCTGAAAATATTTAAGAGCACAGTTCAAATATACACATTTTCTGAGGATCAGAAGATTTATTCATGTACCTTACTGGAACAGAATTAGTCATTGCAGGCAAATTTTACACTTCCATGTAACATTCTCTCATCACCAATGTTCCCAAAGTAATCACAGCTATTTCTGTTTAAAGTTCACATCTGTTTGCCATGGAAATTTATCAGGAAACTGTGGTTTTATACATCCACAGTCATTTCCATTTCAGCCAAGATCAAAGAGCTCTTTTAAATCTGTAAAACTTATCTCTAAAATACTAATTTTGTATTTGTGGAAATAAGAATATTTAAATATTATTACTTTTGCATCCAAGGAACTCTGAGCAGCATTGGGAGCCAGCTGGGAGTCAAGTCCACAATCTTAAAGCTGATAAGTTTGAAAAACATTAAGATAACTAAGCAATAGTATTGCCCTAATGGTGTGCAGTATTAAAAACACAACCAAAAAACCCAAAACAAAACAAAACCAAGTCTCCTGGTGAAAGTTCCACCTTCATACTGCAAGTACTTTAGATGCAAAAATACAAGTAAAGAGCAAAACCCATACCTGTGATAGAATTCCATGTGCATACAATATAAAGTGTATGTATAATATCAAATATTACATTAATTCACTAAGAGCTGCTAAGCTGCAAAGTAAAGACTTGACTGTTTATTTATTTATTTATTGGATTCGGGATTACATATAGATTTCTTTTAAAGAAAAGAATGTAAAGAGTTTATTTAAGTAATCATGTGTTTGGTTATTAATGCAGTTTAAGAAATGCCAACATTTTTCAAAGCATTTGAAAAATAACAAAATAACATTTTCAAAGTTAAAAGTCTTAATCCATCAAAACAATACTCATTTGTGAGGACTGCATTCCTACATTTCTGAAATCACTTGACAAACTCTAATGCTCTAATGCTCATTGAAAAAGTACATTAAGATTGAATGTACTGTGAGACATTGTCCTATATTTAAACAAATATCCTGATATAACTGAATTTCATAATTTAATATAAATATCTATATGCCTACATACAGGAATTAAAGAAAGATCTTTAATATAGAATAGAATAGAGCTGGAAGGGACCTTGGAGGGCTTCAGCCCCCTGCTCAAGCAGGAGAACTTATACCATCTCAGACGAGTGACTGTCTAGCCTCTTTTTAAAAATCTCCAGTGATGGAGCGCCCACGATTTCTGGGGTTGAGCTATTCCACTGGTTAATTGTCCTCACTGTCAGGAAGTTTCTCCTTAATTCCAGGTTGCTTCTCTCTCTGATCAGTTTCCAACCATTGTTTCTTGTCCTACCCTCTGGTGTTTGGTGAATAACGTGACCCCCTCTTCTTTGTGGCAGCCCCTCAAATACTGGAATACTGCTAGTATGTCTCCCCTATTTCTTATTTGCTTTAGATTAGCCAAACCCAAGCCCTGCAGCCATTCTTTGTATGTTTTATTCTCCAGGCCTTTGATCATCTTAGTTGCTCTTCTCTGAATTTTTTCCAAACTCTCAACATCTTTTTTGTGCTGCAACAATCAATCAATCTCTAAGCACAAGATGTATCTTTAGATCTGTTAGGAAAATTCTTAATTTTATAGCAACCCAATTGCAATCTTGATGGTGGAAAAATGATCAAAGGCAATCTTGGTAGATGTTCAATATAAAAAAATGTACCTTCCTGTTAATTTGCATAGCTTATTCTCTCTTTTCCCAAACCATTCTCAAGAGTTAAAAGTAATTTATACTTTTCTTTTGATTGTTTATGCTTAGGTAATTAAAAGGTGAAATATTTACAAATGGAGAGAAACCAGAGTATAAATGTATTGGCCAAATGTAGAGTTATTGATCTAATCATGACCTTACAAGTACCGTATTTATCGGCGTATAACACGCACTTTC